CTCTGTAAACCGCTTAGAGAGGCCTGAAAGCCCTATGAAGCAGTATATAAGTCTAACTGCTATTGCTATTGCTAAATTGAAATGAAGAGGCACGTAGCTGCCAATGTTTCACTCTTGACAGTTTGTTTAATGATGATTCAAAGCTACAACAGCACTGAAAAAATTGACATAGCTGTTTTTCAGTTATGACCTTTGCAGCATCATATGATCAAAATTCAGATGATTGGCAACTGATTCATATTTATGACAGTAGCTATGTCCCAAGGCCCTGTGATCACCTTTTGTGACCGTCTGACAGTCAATGGGGAACTCAAATTCACTTAACAACAGGATTACTAACTTATCAATTGCAATGATTCACTTAACAACTGTGGCAAGACAGGTTATAAAATGAGGCAAAACTCACTTCACAAATGTCTCACTTGACAATGGAAAATTTGTGGTCGTAAGTTGAGGACTACCTATACAGAGCTTCAGGATCATTTGCAGAGAAAAAGGAATCAACTGGGCCGATATTAAAAATATTCCATTTTCGGTTTGACATTGTAGAAATGGGGAGCAGCGCGAATTCCACCACCTCCTTGCCACTGGAGAATTCAGAAAGCAGAACGTGTCGAGCTGTGTATGATTACCACGCAGAAAGAGAGGACGAGCTTTGCTTAAGTAAAGGTAATGTTTACTCATCCTAATCTCAATAGAAGTTAGGGGGAAAAAGAGAGTTGGAAATCAATAAAACATTAATCCCTTTCAACTATTGTAATGAAAAAAAAATCAATGGATGCCATCCCATAAATTTCTGTTTTAACAAAGAGGACCCATTAACACGTCATAGAACAATTTGGAGTCTTCTGGCGTGGTTTGCCAATTTCAACTTATCAGTTGATTCTGAGCTTTTTTGTTTGTGATGCTCTTGGGTATTCCTACTGGACCATCATCCCGAGGCAGCTGGCCATGTTTTTAATTCCGCTTATTGGATGCTAAAAATGAATGTGGAGAAAAATTGAAGAGGTAACCAAATCCTTACAGTACTCATCTGCCTAAAATTCTGAAAGTTTTTGTGACATTTCAGAACGTTGTTCTACTTAAGCCCTTGGATAATTGTTTCAGAATGTAACAAGAGAAAGATATGTGATTAGAATTACTCTGATGAGAAAACTTGGGGTATGAGCTAACTATGCATTTTTTTTAAAAAAAGAAACTAATTAAAGGTAAAGGTTTCAATCCTGCCTAACTGTACCTGTACGCCTCAAATAATAATTATCTCAATAATAAATGGACTGCAAAAATACAGGTTTAAAGCAGCTGTTCTCAGATGGTCAAATTAAAACTCAAGAGAAAAACATTGCGGGTTCCTTATTATAATCATATGGAGGAATATTACAAAAACCGTAACTTGAACATTTTTGTGGATGTTCATTGATAAACAGCTTGGGGGAAAAAATGGAAATCAATGCCTAAAGCTAGGGATTTAAGAAACTGAGCTGATATTACAAAAGGACCGGCCTACAGCCAAAGGCTATTAAAAGCAACAGTCTGCATCTTGTGAAAGAGCTTTAGAAATCCAGCTAGTTATAAATTGGTTCAAAGATGTGGCTCCTGATCAAGTTAAGCAACAATGTGGTTGCTATGAACCAGAATGGAATTAACTTCATTCAGAATTCAGAGTGCACCATTTTTCCTAACCCAGCTTTAGCTCTGCAAATTGTGTCTCTTGATTCATCTTCCTACCTACACGCAAGATACACTTAAGAGTAGATGCCTTGTTTGAAAGCCTGTAGAGCAGGTCTGTCAAACTGCCGGCCCACGGGCCAGATGTGTCACGCACTGGCCACGCCCACAGTTTAGAGAAGGGGGGAAATGTCGCATGACACCACCATAACATGAATTTGACAGCCCTGCTGTAGAGGGAAGGGCTTCTATACATCTGTCTTGCATTGGTGGATAGATATTGTCCCATGCATTCGATTAAATGACACAATATAATTAAGTCAATATTGTCAGTGTATGAGAGTTCATGACTTGGGAGACATAACAACGTCAGCCAATGAATAGGCATAGCAACTAAGTCAGCCAATGAGGGCTGTTTGGAAACTGAAAGGGAATTTGCTATGTGAGCAACAAGGAGACAACAAGGAGCCTGGGCGTGGCTTAGCTCAACTGTTCTGTACTAAAGCTGCAAGTCTGTGCTAAGCTAAAAAATCTAGTCTGCTGCTCTGAACTGAAACTCCTCTCCTCTGTGATTGCTTGAATTCTCTACCACGTTGGAAGAACCACTTTTGCTATTGTATACTTATTTCATGTGTTAAATTATATGTAAAAAGAAGTTAATGAATCCTGCTGAATCAGTTACCTGTATGTGCTTTCTGGATTTGATTACTGCAACAAACTCTGACAAATATTAACTTGCTTGTATTTATCCTTTTAGGTGATGTAATTGTAATTCATCACAAAGACCAGAGTGGCTGGTGGTACGGTTCTAGAAAGGGGGAAAAAGGCAATTTTCCTGCTACATATGTGGAAGAAGTCACTCTCTCGACTGGCAGGAGAGACGGAGAACCTTCTCTTTAAAACAAAAGGAAAAAATAATCACCCCAACATGCATAACAAATCCAACAGACGTGTTTCTATGCTTGTAATAGAAGCCAAAGAATTATTTTCTTTATTTATAAGAAGCTCTGAAACGGATATTTGATGAATTAGCATTGTAACAAAACAATTAGAGACAACTTACATTGAATCTCTTTGAAATGATACTAACTCTTAAATTATCACGTTAACCAGTCATTTAATGAATTGTTGGGAGATCTTTGTGGCATAATGAAAGGGAAACTGACATTTATTTCTGAAGTGCAAGAGGAAGTCAATTTACTATAGACTATTCATAAATGGAATTGGCACCATGTAATCAAATTCCACACCATGTTTTTCCCCCCAGATTCATAAGACTTTAGAAGAACGTGAAGATAATAAAATTCCCTATATTGCAAGGCTGAGCAAACCAGGAATTTGTTCTGCCAGAAGATACAAAGACTTCAATTTTTGAAATATATCCCCTTGAGGGGATCCTAGGATTATTGTTCTGTTGCATAGTGAGGTAGGACAATCATCCAACAGATGACCAGTTACTATTTACTAATTTTATTAGGATAGTTATGTTATGTTTGAAACCTATTCTTCTTTCAAGAGTTATGTGCAACACACCTGGTCCCCCCCCCCCACACCTACTTTATTCTTATAACCACCATCTAAGGCCCAGGTTACATTAAAAAAGTACCTCAAAATAAGAATGAAGATCTGGGCTAAGTTTTCACAGTCATTGTCCAAAGCCCTCAAGTTGTTACAAGACTTTTTATTCTTCCCAAGTAGGAAGTGACCAAACATGAAGGGCAGATTTAAAGAATAAGCAGTGCTTTTATTTGTAGGTCAAAGCAATGAAGGCTTTTCTAACATTAGCAATAAACGCAGAGAAATTGTTGGTTTCTCTCACTTTCCGCTGTAGTTCTTCTGCGCAGTCCAAGGGAGGAGAACAAGAGACCACTAGGAAAAAGCAGTGAATTATTTTCCTTTTAAAAAATTGAAAATAAGATATCCTAACATGGTAGGACGTTTAGGACATTTGGACACATAAAAGCCACAAAGGGACATAGCAAAGAATACCCTGCACTCACTTCTCATAATTTTCTATCTCAACATAAGACCAAGAAACACATCTGTGGGTAGCTCATATTATCAGCTATCTCTTATACTGTAAGTGATTGTGAAAGTTTTATTCAAATACACATTATTCTATTTTGGTTTGTTCTACTATAAACGTTTTGGGAATTTTAAATAAATGAGTCAATACATTCTAAGCAGGGGTGGTATTCACTCACTTTCCCTACCAGTTTGCAAAATGTGACTGTCTGTGTCAGCAGAAGGCTACTTCTGCTGCCTGCCAGCTGCCTGCAGTTTGACAGTTCAACTCTCACCAGGTTCAAGGTTGACTCAGCCTGCCATCCTTCCAAGGTGGGTAAAATGAAGACCCAGATTGCTGGGGGCAAGAGGCTAACTCTGTATACTGCTTAGAGAGGGCTGCAACGCACTGTGAAGCGGTATATAAGTCTAAGTGTTATTGTTAAGCCCAGGGAAGTGTTGGAACACAGGATGTAATACANTAGATAGATAGATAGATAGATAGATAGATGATAGATAGATAGATAGATAGATAGATAGATAGATAGATAGATAGATAGATAGATAGATAGATGTGTGTGTGTGTCAGTGGTAGGTTGCCAATCTTTTTACTATCAGTTTGGGAGCGCTCCCATGAGCGCTTGTACATGCCATGCACATGCGCAGAAGTGTCCCTTCCAGTGGGCGGAGGCTCCCACTGCCGCTACTACCAGTTGACCCAATGTAGGCTGAATCGGGAGCAACCCACTTCTGGTGTGTGTGTGTGTAGTGTGTGTGTGTTTGTGTGTGAAAGAGAGAGAGACAGACACACAGACAGACAAGCAGGCAGGCAGGCCAGCCGGCCTATTTGAAGTGTTCGCCTATAACTATTTGTGAAGTGAAGGCTAAAGCTGAGGAAAGATGAAATACAAACAACAGTTCTAGGGGATAGTCTTGATTGTTATGACTTTGGGACCATACAATTGTTCATCTGGCATCTTTGGGGATTTTGATTAAACTTTCAATGAGAAAGTGACACAGATTGTCTCCGGGAGACAACTGAAGCAAAAAGTTGGCACAGAGGAGAATGGACACCACTGTAATGGGATTTTAAAAAGAACAAGGAATCTGTTGTCTTCCACTGACACTTCTGTATATAAACATAAAAACAAATCATGAGAGACCAAATTGGCAAAGTATATTAGGGTGGAAGGGCATCGGTGAGCTTCACCCTTGATTCTGGCTGTCAGCCATGTCTGTTCATCTTTCTTTTCTCCTAGCCAAGGGGATCCGACTCTTTCATTTTAATGTCTGAAGCATTTCATAATTCATAAGGCTACTAAAATAAACAGCAAATTGCTAGCTTTGCAATGAGCATGAGTTGAGAACATTACCAGAGATATACTTCATATTCCGCTTGACTTTTAATCAAAACATATTAATCTTGTTTTCATTCTCCCCTCCTCTTTTTTGCTATAAAAGGAAGAAGATATGATGAGCCTAATTGAAAAAGAGAGGAGACAAGCTGCCATTAAAGCTAAAATAGCACGGGTACAAACAGACTTGGAGAAGGCTCTACAGGACAAAACAGGTTACCTCACACTTTCAGCATTTTATACTTCATCATTTACACAAGGTGAAGGTGTATCTAGTTAGCGCCCTTTCTAGCTCTTCCCAAAAATTTTAAACTCTCACTTACTTTGTTCCCCTTTTGATAATGGGTTATATCGGTCCCTTTAGCTGATAGCATTTACAGAAGGGGTTCTTAATTTTTGTGTGCCATGGGACTCCTTTGAGAAAGTCTACAGAGACCTTCTCAGAAAAATGTATTTAAATGATTAAAATAATATAGATAGATGACAGACAGACAGACAGACAGACAGACAGATAGAGATAGAGAGAGAGAGAGATAGAGATAGAGATAGAGATAGAGATAGAGATAGAGATAGATAGATAGATAGATAGATAGATAGATAGATAGATAGAGATCATAACTATATAAATAGACAGATGATGATAGATAGATAAATAGATAATTAGATAGATATAGATAGATATAGATATAGATATAGATATAGATATAGATATAGATATAGATAT